AAGACCCCCAAAATGGTGAGTAACCTCAGGGGCAGGGAAAATCAGTGTTCCAGGACCATACTGTAGACTGGGCATGTGGCTCTCGGGGAGAGCCAGCATTGTAGCAGGGGCTTTACAATCATTACTGTCCCCACATTTTCCACAGGCTGTGTTCATTATGGAAGATATCTCACTGCTTAGGGTGAGCAGGGATTCAAGGGAGGATCTTCGCCAAGACTGCGGCTTCCGGCCTTGGCCCTTATGTGGTCCCACAGTGACGGCAGATTGGGGTGGGAAAGTTACCCTTAATGGGGCAAGAAACAAAGCAGCTCGGTCAAGGAACCTGTGGCAGCGGATTGCCCAGTATCTCCATGAGAGTTTCCTGAAGAACTCTGAGGCAGATTCCTGTGAAGTGAGGGAGTCAATCAACACTGTTCCATCACTTAGACAAGGCCTGTGGTGGTATGTGCATCATAGACACATGCCTGCTTTCTGCAACCCTCCTGCCCCCAACAACTCGCTTCAGCAATTTCCAAAATCAAAGCCACTTACCAGGGGCCTCCTCTCCTGTTTGCGCTTCGCCAAGTTTTGACAGCTGTGAATGGTTAGCTTACTCCAGAGTAGAGAAGAGCTCCTGGCTGCATGCATCTCTGACTTCTGAGTTGTCCTCTGCCTCTCGGTCTCCCCGCAATACATCCTTGTCCAAGATTTCCTCCTCCTGGCTCAGTCCACTTTTGACTGGCATGCAAGCCACCGAAGTATCTACAGTGGCCTTTGCAATGGAGATGGGGGTCACCACTGAGTATCGCGTCCAGCTCTTTGCAGAACGGGCAGCACTAGAGCAGCGGTTTGTCTCCCACGGCTTATGGTAGGTACTCCGCAGCTCCTTCACTTTGACCCTGCACCGCAGTGTGTTCCGCTCATGGCCCCTTTCTGTCATGAAATCTGACCGTAGATCTCATAATTCCTATGGCTGCAGCGCAGTTGGGACTGGACAGCCTCCTCTCCCCAAATGCTCATGAGGTCCAGCAGCTCAGCACTGCTCTAAGCAGGGGATAGCCTAGTGCGTGGAGCAGGTATGGTCACCTGGAAAGATGCGCTGAGACCACTGTATGCGTCACCGAGCAAACAGGAAGGGAACCTTCAAAATTCCCAAGGAATTTAAGGGGCAGGGCTCATGGTTGGTCACCTGAGGGCAGGGCCGTACAGTTCAAACTGATGACCAGAGAGGTGAGAACACGCGTTGTGGGACACCTCCTGGAGGCCAATCGCAGCAGTGTAATCGACCAGGGTGTCTACACTGGCACCGCGGCACTGTAACCCTGATGCGGAAAGCGGTACGCCTCTCGTCGGGGGTGGTCTTTTTACAGCGCTGCAACTGCTCAGTTTCTGCGCACTAAGTGGCTTGGCAGCGTGTGCACCTCGGGAGTTACACTGCAAAAAGCTGCTTTACTGCGCAGAAACTTGCCAGTGTCTACAAGGCTTCAGTGAGCTGTCTATGACAGTAGCACTACAGTTACTGTGGTTGGCAAGCACACTCCTGATCCCTGGAGATAAATACCGCCTCCCCATCTCCAAACCATTTCTGGCTTCAGGCAACAGGGAGAGAGAAGAAGCAGTTTTACCAACTACAGCTGGAGTTAAAAATGTGGCCCACAAGGAATTCAACCTGCCTCAGCCCTTCCTGCATTAGTGGTTCTCACCCCTGGAGCTCAGCACTGGTTAGGAACTTTCAGGAGAGGCAAGAAGACACAGGCAGGGGTTGGTAGTGTGCTGGCTGGCCACACCAGAGCAGCAACAGCATGAGTGGTTCACTGAACCATGTGGGAATGCTGTTGAAGTAGCACATGTGAAGAAAGCAAGGTTAGGGTAGGTTTTCACATTCTGAAAATCTGAAGTCAACAAACTCAATTTAAAATTGTGTATCTCAGGAGTTTTGCTAGACGTAAAAAGGAAGAAGTGAGAAAAGTAACAGCAACTGTCACTTTAGTTATCAGGTTTTACTATTCTGAAAAGTACAGTTAGGCTATGTCTACACTACAAAGTTAAGCTGACGATCATCCACCGCTGTAATTAAACCGCTTTTGCACATCCACATAATGCTCCTTGTGACAGCAGAAAGTGTCCACAGTTAGTGCTATTGCATCAACAGAGAGAACAGTGTATTGTGGGTAGTTATCCCACTGTGCAACTCACCACCAGCCGTCACTCAGTGGTCCATGATGCAGTTCTCTGTCCAATCATTCTATGGGCTTCCTACTACATTTTGCACCACTTTTCAACAGCCCCTGTAAACTTCCTGCTCATCTCTGTCTGAAAGCAAGGATCCTGGACTGTTCTCTTGTATTGTAATGAGCATTATGAACACAATGTGGCTGATCCTGCAGTATTTTATGAGCTACGAAACTGATGACACCGTGGTGTCTGCCCCCGTGTGCCATGGAAAGAAACAATTCCAGGCTGATGTTGGCATTCATAGAGCAGCTGCACACAGTGGACTGTTGGTTCTGGGCATAGGAAATAAGCACTGAGTGGTGGGATTGCATCGTTATGCAGGTATGGGATGACGAGCAGTGGCTGCAGAACTCTCAGATGTGCAAAATCACTTTCCTGGAACCGTGTGCAGCGCTCGCCCCTACCCTCTGGCACAAGGATACCAAAATGAGAGCTGCCGTAACGTGGGAGAAGCAAGTGGTGATCGCTGTATGGAAGCTGGCAACTCCAGACTGCTACCGATCAGTTGTGAAACAGAGGTCTACCATGTGGGTTGTAGCGATACAAGCGTGCAGGACCATTAATCTCCTCCCGCTACAAAGGACTGTGACTCTTGGCAATGTGCGGGAAATAGTGGATGGCTTTGCGACAACGGATTCCCTAACTGCAGGGTGTGATAGATGGCACGTATATTCCCATTTTGGCCTCAGACCACCTTGCAACGGAGTACATCAACAGAAAGAGCTATTTTTCTGTGGTATTGCATGATGTGGTGGATCATTTCACCGACATCAGTGCATGGTGGTCCAGGAAGGTGCATGACACACATGTCTTCAGGAATACTGGCCTGTACAGAAAGCTGCAAGCAAGGACTTTCTTTCCAGACCTGAGGAGTCTAACTGCGGATGTGGAAATGCCAATAGTGATCCTTAGGACCCAGCCAACCCCTTGCTCCCATGACTTATGAAGCCATACACCAGAAACCTTGACTGCAGCAAGAAGCACTTCAAGAACAGGTACAGCAGGTGCAGAATGACTGTTGAATGTGCATTTTGCTGATTAAAGGGTCGTTGACGCTGCTTTTTTGGCAGGTTAAACCCGAAAGAAGAAAATATTCCCATGGTCATAGCAGCCTGCTGTGCTCTGCATAACATTTCATAGAATCATAGAATATAAGGGTTGGAAGGGACCCCAGAAGGTCATCTAGTCCAACCCCCTGCTCGAAGCAGGACCAATTCCCAGTTAAATCATCCCAGCCAGGGCTTTGTCAAGCCTGACCTTAAAAACCTCTAAGGAAGGAGATTCTACCACCTCCCTAGGTAACGCATTCCAGTGTTTCACCACCCTCTTAGTGAAAAAGTTTTTCCTAATATCCAATCTAAACCTCTCCCACTGCAGCTTGAGACCATTACTCCTCGTTCTGTCATCTGCTACCATTGAGAACAGTCTAGAGCCATCCTCTTTGGAACCCCCTTTCAGGTAGTTGAAAGCAGCTATCAAATCCCCCCTCATTCTTCTCTTCTGCAGGCTAAACAATCCCAGCTCCCTCAGCCTCTCCTCATAACTCATGTGTTCCAGACCCCTAATCATTTTTGTTGCCCTTCGCTGGACTCTCTCCAATTTATCCACATCCTTCTTGAAGTGTGGGGCCCAAAACTGGACACAGTACTCCAGATGAGGCCTCACCAATGTCGAATAGAGGGGAACGATCACGTCCCTCGATCTGCTTGCTATGCCCCTACTTATACATCCCAAAATGCCATTGGCCTTCTTGGCAACAAGGGCACACTGCTGACTCATATCCAGCTTCTCGTCCACTGTCACCCCTCGGTCCTTTTCCGCAGAACTGCTGCCTAGCCATTCGGTCCCTAGTCTGTAGCTGTGCATTGGGTTCTTCCGTCCTAAGTGCAGGACCCTGCACTTATCCTTATTGAACCTCATCAGATTTCTTTTGGCCCAATCCTCCAATTTGTCTAGGTCCTTCTGTATCCTATCCCTCCCCTCCAGCGTATCTACCACTCCTCCCAGTTTAGTATCATCCGCAAATTTGCTGAGAGTGCAATCCACACCATCCTCCAGATCATTTATGAAGATATTGAACAAAACCGGCCCCAGGACTGACCCTTGGGGCACTCCACTTGATACCGGCTGCCAACTAGACATGGAGCCATTGATCACTACCCGTTGAGCCCGACAATCTAGCCAGCTTTCTACCCACCTTATAGTGCATTCATCCAGCCCATACTTCTTTAACTTGCTGACAAGAATACTGTGGGAGACCGTGTCAAAAGCTTTGCTAAAGTCAAGAAACAATACATCCACTGCTTTCCCTTCATCCACAGAACCAGTAATCTCATCATAAAAGGCAATTAGATTAGTCAGGCATGACCTTCCCTTGGTGAATCCATGCTGGCTGTTCCTGATCACTTTCCTCTCATGCAAGTGCTTCAGGATTGATTCTTTGAGGACCTGCTCCATGATTTTTCCAGGGACTGAGGTGAGGCTGACTGGCCTGTAGTTCCCAGGATCCTCCTTCTTCCCTTTTTTAAAGATTGGCACTACATTAGCCTTTTTCCAACATTTGTGAAGCTAATGTTGAGATGGTTTTATTATGTCAGCATAGCAAGAAAGTTAAATCAGCGGGAGGAGCATTGCAGTGCGTAAACCTCAACAGTGAGGTTGACGTAAGCTGCCTATGTTGAGTTAGCTGTGTAGTGTAGACAGGGCCTTAGGTTCTTGAGCAGTATCAAATAAAGCTAACTTTCCAACTCTTTACACTTCAAAAACACTATAGACAGAACACTGACCTGTAGGGAAGTGCCCGCCAAAAAACATGTTGAATATTTCTTCTGGTGTGATGTCTGCTTCAAATTCCCTGTAATAATCATAGTTCCTAGCCCGGGGAGTGCTGAAAGTCTCTTGCTCATCCCCAAATTGATCATATCGTGATCGTTTTTCAGGGTTGCTCAGAACGGCAAAAGCAGTGCCTATTGCTACAGAATAAGAGAGAGCAAAATTACACATTTATGTCATCCAATCTTTTCAAGTCATGCCTTTCATAAGCTGAATTTTAGAAGATGAGTAGCAACAAGTTGATAGAGACACATTTTCTGTTGGACAAAGTATAACACAAAACCATCTGGACAGAGAGACTATGTCCATTGGAGATGTCATTCTTAAAGCAAAGTGAGTGCTCCTTTCAGTTATTCTTGTGGATACTGGTATTAGCACTGATGAAAGCTGCTCACTCATCGTGGATAGAAGCAGGAAGTTAAAACATTTCCTATAGCATATGGAAAGGTTGAAAATACTCCGAAAACTGGAGAAGAGACCATTCTGGAAATCTGTTAAAGGGCTGAGTGACAATACAACTTTTTACCAAGTCTGAAACCAGTTAGTGACATGGTAGGTATGAGTGTGTGTGTCCACACACCATATGGTTAATTACATGACATTGCATCCTTCCTGTAGGATGTACACTTTTAACTTTGTATTAAGTTAACTTGAGTTACATTCCTACGAGTTGGACAAGATAAACACTATGCTTCTCCTAGGATTTACCTCAATCAGCTGAAAGGTTACAACTGCCTTGTCTTCACTAGACTTGTAACACAGGTTAGCTTAGCATGGGTTAAAAATATATCTTTTTCCCTAGTGAAGACAAGGCCTTAGTTAAACAAGTGCAATTGCGTGTACAGCATACCACAGAGAGCTAGGTGAGAATGGCAGCAATGTTAGAGTGATCTCATGCACCAGTGGAAAGAAAGGAACTGAGGGTGGGGGATGGCCATTATCTTACAAATGCCCACTTGCTGGCAACACCATTCAAAGGCACAGTAGTTTTGAGCTAAGGGAGTTCCACCAGTCGCCTGAGAGACTATCAAGAATAGGGCTCGATCACAACATTTGGGGAATGAATTCTCAAATAAGGATCAAGGAATTTACAATAATTGCCTTTATATTAATAAGTGGTAGCTTTCAAAATTATCCAATATGCTTTTTAATGCCAAAGGCAATCCACTAACCGTATTATGTTTTGCACTGAGATAGCCCTGGAGAATGAAAACCTCTCTTCATAGAATAAATACATCCCTGGCAGTTTCCCCTCTCCTCTACACTCGTCTCAATTCTGACCTGAAAGAGCCACCGATAGACCAGTTTGGTGTCCATGGTCATGCCTATTCAATCTGTAGCCACTTCGCTGAGACTGAAAATACAGGTACAAACTGATACACTTAGGTGTCTACCAGGACCTGAAATAGGAGAATTGTTTCACACTGGCCACCATACAGCTAGTCAGCTGGCAATGACCTCATCACTAGCCACCTGAGCTGGCTCTAAACTAGTGCCCCAAAGATGAAAGACCCCAGATTTTATTACCAAACCCTTCAGCCACCATGTCTCCCAGAACACACCAACATCTTCAGATATTAATTTCTGAGAGTCAAATAGCTGCAACAAACTCAAGTATGCAACAACTTTCTCTTCTAAAGTTGTGTTCATATAGTTTTTTCAAATGTTCAAGGTATCTAAATAATAACGCAACTAAAGAACATTGAAGTTTGATTTTAAAATTTAGAACTTTTGTATCACCTTAATGCTGTTTGAAATATATTTTTCATAGGCAAATTGACACTGAAAACCAACCCAAAGATGAAAAAAAACAAACAAACAAAAAACTTTGCAACTTCATGTCTTCTCTCTCTTAACACTAGCTAATTGAAAGCAAGGCTTTGCCAAGCTCTGTGTTAAGATAGTCCTGGCCATAGCTGGAAGATAAAAAAGAGAAGGTATAACAGATTTAATTTAAGTCTTTAGATACTGATTGTTGATACAGTTAATATAATCTTAGTATAAAATTCAGAGAATCAGAATAATACACTCAAAAACTTTCAATGTTTTCATGATTTTTAACTCATAATTAGGGCCCTACCAATTTCACGGCCGTGAAAAACAGGTCATAGACAGTGCAATAAGCCCTTCCCCGTGAAATCTGATCTCCCCATTCTGATCTGGGAGCACCACTGCTTGGGGGCTCCTAGCTACAAGGCCGGGAAGGAACAGGACTTGTCCATCCCCTCCATGGCCGCGGGGGGGTGGGGGAAGAGAGGGAGGGAGGGAAAAATCAGACAAAAATCAGAAGCCTCCCCCTGCTTCCGGAAGCTCTGGGACTGGGCAACAGCCCTGAGATTGCTGCAGCTAGAGGAGGCTTGTGGAGGTGGGTCCCATCTCCCCCTGCTGCTGGTAGCACCCCAGCCATGGGGCTCCTAGCTGCAAGACCCCAGCAGGCTGGGGAGGGACAGGATTTGTCCATTCCCTGCAAGGCTGATTGGGGCGGAGGGGGAGGAGGAGGAGGAGGAGAGATCAGACCTACCTCTGGGTACCTTTGGGTTGGGACCCCCACAGTTACAATACCATGAAATTTCACATGTAAACATCTACAATGTGAAATTGACCATTTTTTAAACTCTCTGACCATGAAATTGATCAAAACGTACTGTGAATATGGTAGGGATCTGCTCACAATCTAGTACATAGAACACACAGAACAACAGGTGATTAGACAACCAGGGAAACTGTTGATCAAATGGATGAGGGCTATTCGTTACAAACAATACTGCTTAAACACCACCATGAAAATTCAAAGGGATTTAGGATGCCTTTTCATTTTACTACCATCCTGCTTCTCACAGAGGTCTGTACTTTGAAACTCCTCCTAACAAAGGCAACTCTTTGTCAGGCAGCTGTGGGATTTTATGAAGAAAACTATATGCAACCTACCATCGCCTATGAAAATTATAAGCTTCTAATTATAAGTTTCTATGAAGTCTTCAACCAGGGTGCATTGCCATAGTCTGAAACAAGCCTTGCATGAAGATTCTTTTTAAAATAAACCATACTTCATCTCACATACCTTTAAAAGCTTCTGTTGCTCCAGGAGCACAGTTTTTGTCAGGGTGAAATTTAAGGGCCAGTTTTCGATAAGCTTTCTTCAAATTCTCCTCATTGGCATCTCTCTCAACTCCCAAAATTTCATAGTAATTGCTACACTTCTTTATTCTGAAAAGAGACAAAATTGTTTGTTTTTTTTAAGTCTGCATGCCTCCTCCTACAATACAGTTGAGAGAAAATTTTACAAGAAACCAAATAGACAGCACTTAACATAGGTGAGGAAAAAGTAGCAGCAGAGAGAGATTGTATGTTGATAAGATGCATGAGGAATCAGAGCACTGTCTTAGGAATGAGGTCATGTGTATCACTTAAAATTCACTTAATGAAAATGTAAGTGCTGAAGAAAGGTGCCAGGTTGTACATCCTATAAACTGAAGTCCTCTGTTTAGTCAAAAAGCAGTTACAACACAGGCAGATGTAAAACAAGCTTCCCCACCAATCCAGCTCAACCCTCGACTGAAAGGAGCCGATCTAAAGGGCTGGTATGTAATTTGGTCTCCACGTTCATCCATCTCTTGCCTGCCCTGGTAAGAAAGCCATTAGTGTGCCCATTTGTACGATGCACATGACTTCAGAACCTGAACACCTGGCCAGCAGGAACTGGACACCACAAGGTTCATTTCATATAGGATATCAAACCAGGCATATGCATCATTTGCAGTAGAAGAGCTTATTTAAATTACTTTCACCTGAGAAGACTACATTTAAAATCCTGACATTGATCAACAAGTGAAAAGGAGCCTGGTGGGTCCCCCATTGTTATCTCTATTTGTGCAAACCACAATGTTGGTCTACCTATCTCAGATACTTATATAGCCTTCATCCATGTTGTACGTGAGCACCTCATAATCTTTAATGTGCTTATGCTCACAATACCTCTGTGAGGTAGGGAAGTATTATTATTTCCATTTTACAGATTTGGAACTGAGGCACAAAGAGACTAAGTGACTTGGCCCCGGGTTACACAGCACGTTTGTGGCAGAGCAGGACCTGAACCCAGGTCTCCCACAACCCAAACTAGTGATCTAACCACTGAACCATCCTTCCTCAGTCTCTACTCAAGCACTCAGGGCTAGAAGAGCTAAAACTTAGATGCACTGACAATGCAGGAGGGTGAATAGTACTTGACTGTACTATCCTTTGCCTCAGCCACGCCTCATTTTCATGTGAAGCATTACATACAGAGCCACTGAAGTCAACAGAAACAGGGGTCTTGCTCATGCAGAGGTCCTTGTAGGAACAAGGCCTAAATTTAAACACATAGTTATGCTTATTTTCGTCAAATCCTTCTTTTCATGGAGGCTGTTTCAGCTGGAAAAGTAAGCTTGGGCTGAAACTTAGAATTTCAAGTCTTACCTAGAACTAGGTCTCCTCCCCACAAAAAAATAATTAAAAATGGTTCTACCTTTTAAAGTTTAAAACCTAGTAATCTAAAAAGGAAATGTTTGTGCTCCTCTAACTTTAAAAAAAACAGCTGCTTTAAAATGATCTTTTGCAAATTCTTTAGATTACAATATGGATAAATTGGTTGCAGTATTTTTAGTAAACATTCACAGTTAAATTTAGGAAGGCACAGTGACTAATATTCTGTTCATATATAGCAACTTTTGTTAATTACCTACTATTATGCATATTACTCCTATGATTATGATGGCTCCATAGTTTAAATTGACTAGATACTAAATACAGATATTCATAATAGACATAACTGTTCGTTAACTGTGACTTAAACCCATAACACCTCAAGGAAGTTTAAGTTAGGTTCAGAATATAGTTGATACTGTAGATTTCACCACTCAGAGATACTTATAATAAAAGGACCCAATTTTCAAAACGTGCAGAACACTCACAACTCCCATAAAAGCCATTCAATCAAACCACAAGTGCACATTAGCTGCTCAGGACTACAGCAGCTTTGCAGTTGACATCTGGTTACTAAAAGATCACATATGTGAGACTTTTCCCTCCGCCAATACAATTTAATGTAGAGTCTACTGAAAATAGTTTACCTTTGTACCCCATACAACTGCTCCTCTGTGTAAGTCATACTAGCTTCTCCAGAGCCCGGTTGACCCCTCTCATTGTCACACTTCTCCTTCTTCCCTTTCATACAGTCGCTGCAAGCACAGAAGTCAGAACTCTCACTGTTTTCCTCTGTTGGGCATGCATTCCTTCTGAGTGCATCAATTAAGGCTGCAAAGCAACATGTCCCCATTATGAATGTATTACCAAAAATGCAATGACATATCATTGCATGTTTCACTGCACAATAAATATAAAATTAGAGAATTAAAGTTAGCATAAATTTGGTTAAAGAAATGTGTTGCAAAGGAAGGCCCTAACTAGCAAGTAAAAGAAAGATCTTAAAAGTAACAAGCTATAAGGCCAGAAGGAATGAAGGAGGGAGGATACCTTGTTCAAAGAATGAAATAAGGGAAAGTTCCTAAAAAGGCCTCTGACCAATAATGGTGACTGCAGATGATAAGACAAAGAGACTGTCTTAAAAATAACCAACACTGACCTTCCCACCCCACTTATCAATGTTCTCAAAAATTGGGGCCTATCTGAATTCATATGCAAAGGAAAAACTGTTAGTCAGCAAGGAGGAAAGAGAGAGACATGAGGAAAGGCCTCTGGAAGAAAGAAGGTTGGAAACTTTATCTGGATCAAGACTGCAAATAAGGGAGAACTGCCTCAAATCAGTTTTTCACTGAAGTCAGCAATTGGCAAGGACATCACTGGTTTGTTAAAGGGTATAAAAAAAAGTAAGCTCTTAAAGGGTTCATTGTTAATACCTGCCTGACCACGTTGGAGTGGCCCAGTATTGGTCTAAGCATCCCTGGGTTTAGCCCATTTGTAACTATATCTTGAGCAAATGCTTATAAATATTTTGTTATTGTTTGGAGTAGTACATTGCTTATTATTTAGGCATGTTTAGAGCAACTGTATAACTATCAGTCAGCCTTCGTATTTAATAAAGTAATTTATGGTTAACTTAGTGTTGTGATAATATCCTGCATAAATAATCCCAATATTCAGTCTAATGGAAACATCTTTTCACATACAAAAATCCATGAAAGAAAAAAATCATCTTTCATCACAGCATTATCCGTGGATTATCCTTAATGGGGGTCTTTTCTGTGTGTGTGCTATACCTGAGAAAAACATTACACAAAGCAAGTAATAGAGAAAACAAAGGAGAAAGTTCACCAGTTATATCAATAAAGCAAGAACCAAATACACATTGCAAATTAATAATAGTGCAGAACGATATAAATGCTGCATGGACTGAAAACTACAGCTTCAGGGCTAGATTGCAGAGAAAAATGCAATGCAGCTTCAGGCCCTAGGCCCTTCCTCAACCCCCATAATAACCTCATCCCCACTCTCTCCCCAGCACCCCCTCCCCACTCCTCTCCCTGCCAGCACCCTCCCCTCCCCTCCCCTCCCTGCCCAGCCCAGCCCAGCCCCCACAGTGCCCCTCCCCGCTCAACCCCCCTCCCTGCCCCTCCCCACTCCCTCCCCGCCCAGCCCCCCGGGCTCCCTCGGCCGCTGCCAAGTGCCGCGGCGCTCGCTACCTTCGGCCCAGCGCTCCCCGCTGCCCAGCCCCGCCATGTTGTTCGGGGGGAGGAGGGGGCTGGGACAAGAGCGGGACCCGGCGTTACTGCGGCGCAGGCAGAGGGGGCGTGGCGCGGGGCCCCCTGGGTATTGTAGTCCTGCCGCTGGATTACATTACCCAGAGGCTCCGCGCGGCTGGGGGCAGGGAGGGCGTTAGGCGCGTGGGGTGCGAGTCCCCTCCCCTCGCCGTGAGCGAGTGGCGACGTCATCGAAATAGGCGATGGCGTCACGGGAACGGTCAGTAACGTCATGGAGACTCTGTAAAATCAACCCCCCAGCCAGCCACCAGGTCTGTGGCAGCAGGGCAACAGCCCGCCTGGTGCTGCCCAGCGCCTGTCCCTCCCCGCCGCTCGGCGAAGGCCTCAGCCCCGCGGCTGGCCCCGCCATGCTGGGAGACCTGATGTGGGCCTGCGCCCTCCAGGGCAGCTCCTCGGGGCTGGCTGCGGCTGGTTGTTCGGAGCATCCCCTCCGCTGGCACTGGGCTTTAGTACAGGTTTAGTCTCGTACAGCTTGGCTCAGAGGAGGCTCTGCCCGGCAGCTCTCAGGAGCCGAAGTGAGCTCCGGTGTGGTAGCAGTGCTGTTATTGTCACTGTGTACACCCGCAAAGCACACAAGGCCTAGGGGCCTCACGGTACTTTGACTGAATGGCTGACATCCTGAAACACAAGTACAACAGGAGGAGGGCGGGGGGAAGGCGTCACAGGTGACAAGGGCAGTGGCTGGCACATATTGGTAGATCCATTTGCTTTTGGGGTGGGGAGGTGCACAAACTCTTTTCCTCTTGCAGTCTTCATGGCAAAAGTGGATCTTGAAGGATCTACATGATGAGAGGGTAGGGTGGCCACTGGTGCCTCCACAGAATACAGGACATCCCCTTGGCTGTCCCTGTTGCCACCTGCGTGATCCCCCCTCACCAGTGTGACCTCTCACGCACAGTGCATGTGAGGTCATGCTGCAAGGAGGACACCATTTTGCAGAATGCCCTGCTCCCACCTGCGTGACCTAGCATGTGGCTTGCTGACGGGGGCAGAGCAGTGTGCTCTGCAAAATGGCGTCCCCTGTGCATGATACTGGAAACAATCACATCCAGTTTTATATCAGTGCTGGACAGGGCAAAAACAGGACTGGACAGCTTGAACCTGGACATGTGGCTGCTTGTGAGAGGATAGTGTCATAGGCCTTGTCTACACTACGAAATTAGGTCAAGTTTATAGAAGTCGGTTTTGTAGAAAGCGTTTTTATACAGTGGATTGTGTGTGTCCCCACACAAATGCTCTAAGTGCATGTAGTTTAACTTGGATTTAAACTTGGAGAGTGGTCAGTTTAGATGAGCTATTACCAGCAGGAGAGTGAGTTTGTGTGTGTATGGGGGTGGGGGGGATGTGAGAAAACCTGGATCTATGCAGGAAATAGCCCGACTTGACTATGTAAAGAGTTGTCACTTTGGATGGGCTAGCACCAGCAGGAGAGTGAATTTGTGTGGGGGGGTGGAGGGTGAGAAAACCTGGATTTGTGCTGGAAATGGCCCACCTGTTGATCACTTTAGATAAGCTATTACCAGCAGGACAGTGGGGTGGGAGGAGGTATTGTTTCATATTCTCTGTGTGTATATAAAGTCTGCTGCAGTTTCCACGGTATGCATCTGATGAAGTGAGCTGGAGCTCACGAAAGCTCATGCTCAAATAAATTGGTTAGTCTCTAAGGTGCCACAAGTACTCCTTTTCTTTTTGCGAATACAGACTAACACGGCTGTTCCTCTGAAACATGAAGGGACAGGTTTTCAGAGGTACATGTGCACATGGTTTAGGGCAGGGGTGGGCAAACTTTTTGGCCTGAGGGCCACATCAGGGAATAGAAATTGAATGGCGGGTCATGAATGCTCACAAAATTGGGATTGGGGTGTGGGAGAGGGTGAGGGCTCTGGTTGGGGGTTCGGGCTCTAGGGTGGGGCTGGGGATGAGGCGTTTGGAGTGTAGGAGGGTGCTCTAGGCTGGGACCGAGAGCAAGGGGTGGGGATCGGGGCTGGGGTGTGGGAAGGGGTGCAGGTTCCAGCTGGGGGTGCGAGCCCTGGGGTGGGGCTGGGGATGAGAGGTTTGGGGTGCAGGAGGATGATCCAGGCTGGGATCGAGGGGTTTGGAGAGCGGGAGGGGGATCAGGGCTGGAGCAGGGGGTGGGGGCGTGGGGAGAGGCTCAGGGGTGCAGGTTCTGAGCAGTGCTTATGTCAAGGTTCCTCCCCCACTCTGAACTCTAGGGTACAGATGTGGGGACCTGCATGAAAAACCTCCTAAGCTTATCTTTACCAGCTTAGGTCAAAACTTCCCCAAGGTACAAAATATTACACCTGTTATCCTTGGACTGGCCGCTACCACCACCAAACTAATACTGGTTACTGGGGAAGAGCTGTTTGGACGCGTCCTTCCCCCAAAATACTTCCCAAAACCTTGCACCCCACTTCCTGGACAAGGTTTGGTAAAAAGCCTCACCAATTTGCCTAGGTGACTACAGACCCAGACCCTTGGATCTTAAGAACAATGAACAATCCTCCCAACACTTGCACACCCCCTTTCCTGGGAAATGTTGGATAAAAAGCCTCACCAATTTGCATAGGTGACCACAGACCCAAACCCTTGGATCTGAGAACAATGAAAAAGCATTCAGTTTTTTACAAGAAGACTTTTAATAAAAAAAATAGAAGTAAATAGAAATAAAGAAATCCCCCCTGTAAAATCAGGATGGTAGATATCTTACAGGGTAATTAGATTCCAAAACATAGAGAACCCCTCTAGGCAAAACCTTAAGTTACAAAAAAGATACACAGACAGAAATAGTTATTCTATTCAGCACAATTCTTTTCTCAGCCATTTAAAGAAATCATAATCTAACACATACCTAGCTAGATTACTTACTAAAAGTTCTAAGACTCCATTCCTGGTCTATCCCTGGCAGAACCCAGCATACAGACAGACACAGACCCTTTGTTTCTCTCCCTCCTCCCAGCTTTTGAAAGTATCTTGTCTCCTCATTGGTCATTTTGGTCAGGTGCCAGCGAGGTTACCTTTAGCTTCTTAACCCTTTACAGGTGAGAGGAGCTTTCCCCTGGCCAGGAGGGATTTCAAAGGGGTTTACCCTTCCCTTTATATTTATGACAGCTTACCTCAAGCGTCTCCCGGAAGCAGTGGCATGTCCCTTCTCCAGCTCCTACACAGAGGCACGGACAGGTAGCTCTGGACGCTGCCCCATCCACAGGTACCACTGCAGCAGCTCCCATTGGAGCGCCGGCGGGGGCCATTGGAGCACATAGGACCTGGAGTGGGCCCATGCTGCAGCTTCCGGGAGACAAATGGTGCGGCCTCCAACCCTGTGCCCTGGCTGGAGTGCCAGAGCAGAGCCAAGCTGTGTGGTGCAGCCCCCGACCCAGCGCTCCAGCTGGAGTGCTGGAGCGGGGCAAGCTCCAGACCCTGCTCCCCCGCGGGAGCTCACGGGCCGGCTTAAAATGCCCCACCGGCCGTAGTTTGCCCACCCCTGGTTTAGGGGCTAGAAGGAGAATTCTTGGAATTTGACCCTCATATTATTCAATATTGCAAACATTTTTACACTTTTCATTTTCAAGGTGACCTACAGAGATGGGGGTCTAAGGCAGCTGGGCAGCAGAGTCTGCACCCCAACAATGGGTGGCAACACAGGGTCTGCACCCAGGAGAACTAGGAACCAGGAATAATGACCCTGTTCTGCCCAGACCCAGTTAGTTTAAGAGCACATGGAATCCAGGCATTGGGGTTCACTCACAACAGACTGATGTCTGTCCAGAGAGGGGGACTGGATCAGACTGTGACAACCAGAATTTTCAGTGGGACAGAAGTTCCGTTTTCTCATCAGCTCCAAACTATATGTTTTTCCCTTTCCTAATTTTAAAGAAGAGTTTGGCAGGTTATTTAATAAACATCCTTTGTAGTCCACCTTTCACACACTTTTAAATTATGAAACTAATGGACATATTTAGAAACTCAATCAATAGTTACTTGTAAAAACATTGCATTTATTATTCCATACGCTTTATTATCTTCTGTAAAACCCAGCTGCAGGTCCATAATTGGCATCAGCATGTTTCAATCCTGCATTCTCCAGACTACATTCTTAAATCACCCTATGAAATTAAACCAGGCTAAATGATTGTGCCTGATTGATTGGTGCAATGGAGTATATGTAAGAATACATATATTAATTCTGTCAGTGAAAATGAGATTTATTTTTCTTTCACTGCCATCAATGTTTATTTGGAGGATCAATACATCTTGATGTTCACCTCAAGGGAAGTCAAGATTTGCCTGTTGTGCCGCATGTTAAATAAGGCATTTTGAAAAGTCTGTTCCTTCAGGCTACGGAGCAAGTTAACTTTGTTAGAGCGAGTCATGAGCGTAGGCTGGGCAGAGAGGAATGTACAGTTATCAGTCCTGGAATCTGGGCTTTAGAATGTTACCTTGCAAAATATAGTGCCTGAGATTTTCAAAGCTACCTAAGGATTTGGAGGATAAATTCCCCTTTCAATCAAATGGAAACTGGGGATCCAGATCCCCTAGGTGGCCTTGGGAATCTCAGCCAGTGTAGGTGTGTTTTCTTAACTCAAGGGATCGGCACCCGGATCTGGTCACCTGTGTGAGCAACCTGGCATGCCAAGCCATACCCCAGCTACTGCAATGCATCCTCAATCATGCTGCATTCACTGCATGTGTAGTTAGAATTGCTGGGGGCACAGCACTTGGTTCTTTGTGCTGCAGGAAGATGAGCTGCTCTATGATTCTGTCCCAGTGAATTGTAGGAGAACTTGCCTGTCCTGAGCAACTGGGGAGAATTGTGAGAAGGCATTGGAGGACTATCAACACTGGAGTTATGGGCGCTGGCCCACTGAGCACCAGGGCCTTGGTCTGGGCAAACCGAGCATCAGGCCGAGCCGCCGGACCCCCTTCTTTTGAAGGCTCTCCCGACCAAGCTGCTGGCCCCCCGAGCACTGGGCCGAGCTGCCAGTCCCCACCACACTGAACCACCCCCTTCCAGCACCAGGCTGACCCCAGCGCCCATCCGAGCCGCCTCACTCCCTGTCAGATGCCCCCGCTCGCCCACCGCTGGCTTGCCGCATCCCTCTGCACTCCCCCCCCCAAGAGGAGGAGGGATGTGGCGAGCAGCAGGGACTTCCGGAGGGCGGTGGTGTAGTGGAGGACTAACCGGCAAGCAGCAGCAGGGGGCAGTGAGGACCTTGGGGAAGGGGCGGGGCCACCGCAGCCCTGGTGTCCAGCCCCGGGTCAGCAGCAGCTGTCCAGCGAAGACTTAGCCTTCCCTGGCCTATTATACCCACCGCCCATGACTGGAGTGATTTAGCCTGCGTCCTCGCTGCAAAGTGGGTGGGTGACCAGCCCAAGTGAAAGCCTCACTCAGGCTTTAGTCTATAGCCCAGCCAAGTCAGCAAGCCCAGGGTGAAAGCACCACTATACCTGGGTATGGGAAACTGGCACAATGCTCTTCTGCTGACAAGAGCAGCTCTGTGGCGGATGGAAGGAGGGAGACGTGCAGGGAGCTGGGCACAGAGGCAGTGAGACTTGGATGCTGTAACCCGGGGGGGCCCTGTACTGACCCAGGGCGCCTTTCTGATGACCTAGTGCTGGTGCAGAGTGTCTGCAGCGTGGAAGGGTCAGCTTTGTCCCCAGGAGCGGGTAGGCTGAAAAAGGAGCTAGCCCTAGAGGATGGGGAGGAAATCCCACTCCGACAGCCTGCTGTCCGCCAGCTGCCCCACTGAAGAGGAGGAATGCCCCTCCAGAGCAGGGGCAGGGCATTGGCTGCAGGACATCGGACTGGCTCTGGGCTGATCGCCGGCCACGGGGTGGGGCTAGAAAGAGCACACTTGCCCTGAGGCCTGTGCCTGGCTCTTGGTTGTACTATTGCAGGGATTGGGGAAGTTGTGTGCGTGCCCTCCAGAAAACCCCCCAAATCATCTCTGGTGCTGTTGGAGGGCTTGTTGTTTCATTGCTGAGTGCAGTGCTTGTTCCTGGGGTTAGTTCCTGCCTCTTCAAGGTTGCAGAAGGGAACCAATGTGTTTAGGCCCAATCAGAGGCAAGTGCAGAGGGGTTTCAGGATCCATTTAACCAACTTTGGGGTGCCCTAACTCCACTGGGGTAGGTGGGTTTTGTCTTATCCCCTACCTGTTTATAACCCATAGCCACACAGTGCCACTTTGCTGAGCTAGGGCCTTTGTGAGTTCTCTGCTGGCTACGTTGAGTGGAGGTGCTGTCTGGCCTCAAGGGGATTTCTGCTGGGGTTACCTCAGGCACCTTAGTCTGAGACAGGGGTCCATTAGTCATCTGGGTATTTGTAGGTTCTGTGGTGCTCACCCATGAACCTTTTTGATGTCTTGGCTGCAGGAACCTTATCTGGATTAGGCTGGTGTGCTACCCAGGGAGCCAGTCACAAGAGTCTGGGCTATCCTCGAGGATTATCATATGTTACCTGGCTGGAGGATTCCTTAGACAGGCCAGGAACCAGGGAACAAACAGGAATGGGACCAGGAAGGGAGCAGGACGCAATAAACAGGAAGGCAACACGCATACCACATGCCAGGAGACAGCATACTTTTGTTATTTTCTCTCTTCTATATCCCTCAGATCACACTGGAGACTGCAAGGGCACTGGATGTACAGCTCAGCCTTAGCCAACACAAGCAACAAAGGGCGAGACCCTCTTGTAAATAATAGTAATTCCTGTTATTAAAGGTGAACTAACAGAACTTTTGAAATTAACCCTATCCAACTCTCCATATACATCACACAGGAGCCAAAAAAAAAGGAGCAAGTCTGACTTACAAAGTTCTTTGCATATCACCTTTAACAGTGCACAGTGGATTAGGTTGTAGAACATCCCCAGATCCCTTTGAAAGTGAGGAAAATGTAGGAGGTAGGTACAATGTAATTCTACCATACCAGGAGGCTGGGAAGTTGAACAGGTCATCTGTGCTATTACCAAAAGTGTCCCAGGATCTCTGTTCTATGTCTTGCCCAAAGGATACCACCTCCAGCATGCTCAGTGTTCAGCACTGACTGCAGGTGGAAGGAGCAGCCATCAATATAATTTCCTGCAGCACTTTTCATCTTCCTTGGAGGGCTCCAATCTACATACTACCCTGGCTCAGCATCACTTAGCTTTTGAAAGTTCAAAACTCTGGAGGTGGTCTGGTCACAGACATGTTAGCAAAGAAATGTCTGTGTTAAACCTGAGGTACCAGTGCTCAACCATCACAGTGATGATCATGATATAAATGCCTAGGCAGAGAATGTCATTGATGTTTCCTGTTAAGTGTTGTATAGAGAGTGTAACAAGGGTGTGGTGTGTTGCTTTTTGGGCCAGGGAGCACCTGGCCCTGTTGTGGAGGGAAGCCCAGCAGGCAGGTGCCGCGGATCAGCTGACCCAGCTGGACAGCAGCTAATGATTGGGTCTGATTCCCAGCTGAGGGATATCACTGAGGGCCCAGGAGAGAGTTCAGTATACCCTCTCTGGTGGCTACAGCAGAAGGCTCTGAGGAGCAAGCAGACCCCCAGGTTGGAGGAGATTAGACCCATTTGCTACTGGAGGCCAGTCTCAGTCAGAAACAGGACTTGGTTGTGTTGTTATTCCACATTTCTTTTTGTGGGCTGAAGAATAAATAGAGCCCTGAAGAAAGGGCTAAAATGTAACTACATGTGGCTGATTGTTTGTCCCAGGCTGGTGTTCAGGTCGACCAGTGTATAATGATTATGTGCCAAGGTCTCTCTGCCTGTGGTCTGGGTCTATGCTGAAGTTAGGTTGACCCAGCTGTGTCACTCAGGGGTGTGAAAAAACTCACACCCCTGAGCAAACTAGTTGAGCTGTAGCCAGTGCTAGGTGACGGGATTCCTCTGTTGACCTTACTACCACCTCTCAGGGAGGTGGATTAACTACAGTCTACACTGAAGTGTTACGGTGGAGCAGCTGTGCCACTGTAGCATTTTAAATGTAGATATAGACTTAAGTATGGTGGATTGTTGGAACTGTTAGGAACCAAAGACTGGCAGAAAAGAGAGCGCTGCATTCTGTTAAAGTAACTTTACTTCTGTTATTCCAAGTAATTGAATCCTTTTATCTGAGAGATGTTGCTGTCCCCATTCAGAAGGGATCAGAGCACAGGCCTGTTGGAAGCATCATATACTCCAAGACCACATTTGCTATCAAGGAAAGGTTATGGCTATTCCCTGCAGGGAGCATACTGTAGTCATAGGAACATGCTAATCTGCTGGCTGAAGTTTAATTTGTAGTAATTTATAATAAAAGTACTTTGCACCTCTCCAGCAGCTTTCATTCATGGATCTCCAACTGCTTTCCAGGCATTAACTGATGTAGCCTCACAACATCCTTGGGAGGTAGGTAAATATCATTCCTGTTTTAGATAGGAAAACTGAGGCATGGAGAGGGACTTTCAGCAATTATGCCTCAATTTAGCAAAAGCACTTCAAGCCTGATCTATGCCTGCTGAAGTTAATGGGAGTCTTTCTGTTTGTTTCAGTGGGCTTTGGATCACGCCTTTCAGTGCAAAGCTGAACTGGGTCATTTGTGATCAGCTGTGGGGCAAGCCAATGATTGTCTGGCATGGATGCCAAAGGGTCATTAAGGGAGTGGTCTGTGTCATCGGTGAAGCTGTAGGTTGTTTGGCTCTCCTCCCCCTAAGAGCTGCTAGAACACGCTGCAAGTTTGTGTGCCTATCAGAAATATAGTTAGAACATGAAACATTGTGAGATGCTGGCTCTGGCTGGAGAAAACTCTTATAACCCACATGGGGTTACTGTGCTTGATTTTAGAGTACATATATTGATTGGAAAGGATGTAATAACTTATAAAGGAAATGTCACCCCCTGCCAAAATAGAAAGTCAGTGCAGATTGGCTAGTAGTGTTTCCTCCTGGCTCCTGTCATGTCACTGTCTTCATAACACCTACAAAAGAACCAAAACATGATGCATCAGCAGGCTTTCTTGGCAGGCAAAAGAAAACAAGCAAAGTATCCCTAGGGACTAACCCTTGGAGAGCCACTTGGGAACTCTGTCCATCCCTCCAACAATCCCAAATGCTAGACCAGGTGTCAAATAGTAAGCCCTAGGGAAGTGATGGCCCAGCTGTTGTGGGAGGGCATATATGTTAATGAAACAATGTACTGCAAACACCAATCACAATACATCATACCCACAGTGGGACCTGGGAGAACAGTGGTCCTTGTCTCTCAAACACAGATCTCTACCTCCAGCTAAAGAAGACCTTTTTTAGCCCATAGTGGTAGTCCCTTTCCAGTGTGTTGTCAGCTGGCCTCTAGATGGCAACGTAACCCTCACTTATACCCACAAAGACAGACAGTACATTCCAATGGGGCTTCATAGGACTCAGATATTACCAGCAGGAGAGTGGGGTGGGGGGAGAGAAAACCTTTTGTAGTGATAAACGCCCATTTTTTCATGATGTGTGTATAAAAACAAACATCTTCTGTATTTTCCACAGTATGCATCCAATGAATTGAGCTGTAGCTCACAAAAGCTTATGCTCAAATAAATTGGTTAGTCTCTAAGGTGCCACAAGTACTCCTTTTTCTTTTTGCGAATACAGACTAACACGGCTGGTACTCTGAAATAGGACTCAGATAGTTCAGGTAAGCTTTGGATAAGCACCCAAATTCGTCCATGCTCATCTGAACCAACTCAGACCTCTGGAAGTTTGCATGAACCTGTTTATTACTACCTTTCCGGTGGATTAAGAAAGCAAAGGGATCTTCTGTCCACGGAGAGAAACAAAATCTTAAGCAATTCTCTAAAATGCAAGGCTAGAAAGAGAAACCTTTTCCGAAGAGGGGTAACTCGTACTGTTGTTCGTGCTTAAGTTCTTCATGGAGATCAGAGTGATGCTGTCCTTGACTGTAGCAGCAGAACAACTGCCAAACAAGAGAAGGTGCAGGCCAATTACTGTCTTTGGAAAATTAAAGCAACTGTCATAAGAGGAGAGGTTTCTCATCACAATCAGAAAAGGCTAGGGAAAAGGATGGCTCAGTGGACCAGGACTAGCTGCTAGAGCTTTCCCCGTCTTGGTTGCTGGTTCATTTCCAATCCACAAAGAAAGGTGCCCAAGCTATAGAATTCAAATCTGGATCTGGCACTCCCCATAGTTATGGGTAGGAAGCAGAGGTGAAAGTAAGCCGCTATGCCCCCATATGGCGTACCGGCAAGAGCTGGTGCACTGTATTGGGGTGGATTGGCTTCCCCAGGCGCAATTTAAAGGGCCTGCTTCTCCTAGCAGCAGTTGGAGCCCCTGGCCCTTTAAATTGCTGCCAGAGCCCTGCTGCCGGAGCCCTGGAGTAGCGGCGGCGGGGCTGGGGCGGTGATTTAAAGGGCCTGGGGTGGTAGGGGTGGCTGAGCCCTGGGCCCTTTAAATCGACCCTGGAGCCCCGCCGCCGCTTCCCCAGGGCTCCAGCAGGCTCCAGGGACTGATTTAAAGGGCCCTACGTGGTAGTGGTAGCCGGAGCCCTGGGGAAGTGATGGCAGGGCTCCGGGGACGATTTAAAGGGCCCAGGGCTCGGCCGCCGCTACCGCCCAGGGACCTTTAAACCGCTGCCAGAGTCCCCGGCTGCTGCTGTTGCCCCGGGGAGGGGGAAGGAGGCACTTGCCGGTACAGGGTGGGCCAGGGCTGGCTCTGACCTCCCCAGCCCTGCCCTTTCCGCCTGAGGCCCTGCCCCTTCCGGGGGCCAGAGCCGGCTCCAGCCCAGCCCCGTACCGGTAAGTCCCTAGACTTACTTTCACCCCGGTAGGAGGCATCTGGATTAATGGATCCAAACTGGATCAGTGACAGAGAGCACAGTCCTGTGAAATTTCTATCTGAACTTGGAATCACTGTTCTGGTTTTGACTCATCTCTTCTGCTATAAATGAAAGTTCTTCTCATCCGATGTCTCCTCAGTGGTCTCAAGTTGTGGTTTGAAACCAATTCCTAAGTCGATAAATGTTCGTGTAACAAATCTATCAGCACAATTAGCACCATCGTTGGCAGACTCCGTGAAGAGGCCAAAGACACAATGGATAGAGTGCCTGAATTACCCTTTCACTACATGGTCCTTCAACATCGTGGTTGAACACATTGCTAGGCATGGGGAGTCTTGCCCTGAGTGTCGTTCATGCTGTGTCTGTTCTGGGGCTACACAGTGGCGTTCAGCCTCCAGGGCTTTGGCAATCACTAGGTCAGGGGTAGGCAACCTATGGCATGTGTGCCAAAGGCGGCACATGAGTTGATTTTCAATGGCACTCACGCTGCCTGTGTCCTGGCCACTGCTCTGGGGGGCTCTGCATTTTTAATTTAATTTTAAATGAAGTTTCTTAAACATTTTAAAAACCTTATTTCCTTACATACAACAATATATATATATTATGGACTTATAGAAAGAGACCTTCTAAAAACGTTAAAATGTATTACTGGCACGCGAAACCTTAAATTAGAATGAATAAATGAAGACTCAGCACACCACTGCTGAAAGGTTGCCGACCCCTGCATTAGGTACTGATTGTGTTGTACAAAGAAGCTCCAGGAACATATGGTTTTAAAGTAGCAGCAGCATTCAAGGGTATTTCTATCGTTTGTGCTGTGGAGGAGCGTGAAAAAAGTGAGTCAGGTAGAGGCATCCTTTACCTTTACTCTGTTGATTCATATTGGATTGTCAGACCGTTTAGAGAAGGGTGGTCCAGTGTCTAGGGCACTAGCCTATGACTGGGGAGACCTGAATTAATTCCCTGCCACAGACTTTCTGAGTGACCTTGGGCAAGACTCTTAGCCTCTCAGTCCCTCATTTGCAATCTGGGAGTAAATACCTTAAAGAATGTGAGGTGCTCAGATACTGTGGTAATGGGGCGTGTCATATAAACTTAGTCTTTAGGACCACTCCTGTCTCAGTGAAGATGCTTTCACATTTGGGGGCCTAAACGTAGGCATCTAAGTACAGGAGTTAGATACCTAAATATAAGTAGGCTGATTTCCTGAAGGTGCTGTGCTCCCACTGGCCTCAATGCATCTCAGAAATTCGGTACCCATATACGTGGCTCGAGATCCAGTTTTTCCACTAACTCCATTGGGGGCAGGATCAGGCTCAGTGTCACTTTTCACCTATCCCAAAGAAATATCATAACATCCCCCTGCACTCCAAATGCACTAAACATTTCCCCTCCCTTGCTAGAGTGAGTTTTGAAAAAAAAAAAAAGAGATCGGTCCATGCTTAGAGCTTGCAGGTGCTATGGCAATACGAATAAGTGATAATAATCCCTGATGCTTCATAGTGGCCATGAAGAAAGCCGTGATTGCCGAGCAGCCTTACCTTTCCGATACGACGGAGCTCCCCGGTTTCTGTTTATCTGTTGGGGGGGGGAAAAACAAAGTTGATGCTGGGTGAAAAAAAAAAAATCTATCAATGAGCAAAGCGAGAGTTATTCAGAATGACCCTAGTAGTGTCGTAAATGGCCATCAATGGAATGCAAAGCCTCTGCCAGGCATTTCAGCCCTGGTTAGAGAAAACTGTATAAAGCTGAGTGAGCTGAACAGCGTGCTGATGTTTGCCTTACTGGTTTCTTTTCAGCCTTTTGGCTAAGATGATGTGTCCTGTTGGTTGAGCTGCTTTGCCCCCTAGTGGACAGTGCTTGAGCTGGAATATAGGCTTCACCAGGAAATCTTATTAAGATGATCAATTTATTTGAGCATAAGCTGTAGCTCACGAAAGCTTATGCTCAAATAAATTGGTTAGTCTCTAAGGTGCCACAAGTACTCCTTTTCTTTTTGCAAATACAAACTAACACGGCTGCTACTCTGAAACTTATTAAGATGATGTTGAAGTAAAAAGAAAACGGTACAGAGTTTAAGCATAGAAGTTTCTGGTTATCAGGGAATAAGGTATCAAGGGGTGCAAAATTCGGTTTAGGAACAGGTGGTGTAAGGAATACATAATCTGCAATCTCCCCGATTGGGGGTAAAAGTTAAGGGGTCAAAGTACAGACATTGAGATATGGGGGTATGTTGTCCATATAATGGCTGTGTTCAGGTGTGGAGTATAATGAGTGGATATGAGGATGAGGATGGATTTACCCTCATTTGGTGGGATTTAATGTTCAGTGAGTTTATGGTTCCAGTTCATATGGTCCAATGGAAAAAGTCTCTCAGTCCCTTTCCCATAGTTGATGCATGATGTCGTACCGGCTCATGCCTCCTGGTACTGTCGGTGGCCGGTAATGTGTTCGATGTAGATGTCCCTGGACCATCGGATGGTGTCTGAGACCATGAGGCGCTGCATGAGCCGTACGTAGAGTCGACTGATCCCACAGGTCCGCAGCACACGCTCGTTGCAGGGGTCCCAAGCGCCCTGGGCTCCGACGATCAGGGCATCCATCTGCACCTCGTAGCCCTTCGCTCTCAGGGTGTCGGCCAGGGGGGCGTATTTTTCCAGCTTACGAGCTCGGGCTTCGCGGAAGGCTGGGGTCCTGTTCTCAAAGGAGACCGTGATGTCGACAAAGATGATCTTTTTCTGGGCCTCGTCGGGGACTACCACGTCAGGTCGCAACTGGCTGTCAGTACCGGGGATGGCGCAGTTCACAGCGACCTCCCACAGGCGCGGTGCGATGGCTTTCACCAGGTGGTTCTGGATGGTGTTGTGGCGCAGCTTTCAGGCTCTGGAGTGGGGCTTGCAGCTGCACAGGACATGGGGCAGGGTCTCATTGGAGTAGCCGCACTTCCTGCAACGCTTGTCTCGGTTCCCATGGTGGACGGCTCCGTTGAGCGGGACGTAGTTGAGCCGGGCATGGTGGATGAATTGCCAGTCGGCGAAACGGGTGAAGCCGCCCCCAGCGAGGAAGTGGTTGCTGGCATCCCACTTACTGGTCAGTTCGAAGGCTTTACCCTGGTCCAGTTTACGCTTCAGGGTTTCCATGTACAGTGAGTAGACGGCTGCCTTCAGGGTCCTTTCCAGCATGCCCCTGGCGCTCGGGGTGACGATGGTGTTGTCGTCGGACCTGATCTGCGGCACCAGGACTCCCAGCTCCTGGCGCTCCTCGCACCACCCCCAGTGGCAGCCGATGCGCTTCCCCAGGCGAAGCGTGGCATTGCGAGCACGGGACCACAGTGAAGCGATGTCGCGCCCGTCCCGTCCGAATTCGCCATCCAGGGAATCGCTCAGGAAGGTGGTGATGTCTTGGTTGTATGGGGCTCTGCCGATCCACTTCTTTGTTGCGTTATGGACTGCGTTTGCTGCGATGTTCCATACCATGGCGTCGGGACACATCAGGAGGCGGAAGGCGTGGGTGATCACCGCAATGTCACACAGGTCACCCCTGCGGGGGACATTGGCACCACCATGCCTGTGGGTGATGTAGACCAGCTTGTTGCTGGCTTTCTGGGGAAGGAACAGCCACTTCTTCACCAGCTGCCAGACGATCTTGTCTGCCTTGTTGAGGGGTACCTTCGCCACGGCGAATCCCCTTAGGGTGAACGAGATGCGGGGGATAAGGAAGGTGTTCAGGGCGTTTATCTTCTGCCACAGTGCTAGCAGGGAGGCGTCAATCTTGGCGGCATCCTGCAAGATCTCCTGGATGGTGTCCTCGGGTGTCTGCCAGACACGGAAACCCATCGGCGTGCCGAGGTGCTGGTACGCCTGCCCCTCTGCCAGGGGGATGATGGGCTCGCCCTGGATCTGGAATCCTGTCGTCTGCACCGAGTCCCTTTGCTGCCGTCGATGTGGAGAGCTGCGCACTTCTTTGCATTGAAGCGAAGCCCCATCCAGTCGGCAGCTCGACTGGTGGCATCTAGCATACATTGGAGGTTCTCTGGGTCGTCCGCCGTCAGGACCAGGTCATCTGCGTAAGCCAGGATGCTCATCCTCTCACCGTGGAGGTTGAAGCCATCTGTGCCATTGGAGGTTGCTCACAGCAACGGCTCCATGGCGAGGTTAAAGATGACGGGGCTGAGGGGACAGCCCTGCTTAACTCCGCTCCGGATCGGGATCTCGGTGGTCTCCCCTTTGACCGAGCGAATGGTGGTGCTGTATCCCTCGTACACCTCTCGGATCACACGAAGGAAGTTCTCTGGCATCCCAAACTGCAGGAGCGTGGCAAAGATGTGGTGGTGGGGTGTGGACCCAAAGGCATTAGCCAGGTCGAGCCATGCTGCCGTGCACTGCCTCCATGCCCTTCTGGCCATTTCGATGGTGGTTTGGAGGACAAAGTTGTGTTCATAGCAGCCCTCGCAGGATATGAAGCCTTTCTGGATGGAGCTGATGGCTCCCCCGCTCACCGACCACTCCGTGATCCTCGATGCCAGGCAGCTGGCATAGAGCTTGTACATCATGGAGCAGAGGGAGATGGGCCTCCAGTTGCTGGGGTCATCCTGCTCGCCCTTCTTGTACACCAGTACCATCTTGGCCTTCACCCAGGAGCTGGGAGTCGGGCAGAATCGTTTGCACTGGTTGAAGAGTGTGGCAAGGACCAGGCAGCCGGGATCTCACTTTTTCAGGAGGCTGTAGGGGATGCCGTCTTTCCCAGGAGTGGTGTTTTTTGTTTTTGAGAATCTGGCCATTACTTCCTTGGGCGTATAGTCAGTTTCCAGGACACCTGCTTCGTCGACACGGGGCAGGGGGCGGAGGCACTCTGGGCGCTGCGTGTCATTCTGGGCTATGCGGTCAAATACATCCTTGAAGTAGCTGTAGAGACGCTCAGATGGGATCGTGCAATAGGGGAGGGCCCATCTAGGATCTCCCTCATGGCCTTGGAGCAGTTTACCCGGTACAGCTTTTGCATCCTTGAAGCCGCTGATGGATCGTAGCGGCGGCTGGCGTCTCTACTTCTGGTTCCCCTGGTGGTGGTGGTGTGGTTTGGAGCAGGCGTTCTGTGGGCAGGCGGGGCGTTCTCCTGGTTCGAACTTCTCCTGGGAGTGATTTCCTCAGACAGTTCTTGGGTGAGCCTGTCTATGAGGAAGTCAAAGTCGTCAAAGGAAGCTGCCGCTTGTAGCTCCTCGGTCCAGGCAGTCTGCCACGGAGTGGCAACCCTCACCATCGGCTGCTGGCCCTCATGGTCCTCAACCTCGTCTGGTGCAGGCTCAAAGCCTGCGTGGTCGGCCTGCTGTCTATCTCGTAGGTCAGGATTCCCTTCGGTTGGGTGCTGGGGCAGGATCTCTGGTGGGATGCTGGCGTTGCTAGTGGTCGGAGAGACGCAGTTTGGCTCGGGGGTTGCTGGGACACCGCTGGTCCTTCTAGAAGTGGCTGCTGCCTGGGCGGTTGCTGCTGGAGCGTGAGATCTCTCATAGGCAGCGTCCCACAGAATGGACTTGGGGGCCGTGCTGGGCCGTCTGGCGATGAAGACTAGGTGCTTTGCTGTGGCTGCGGGGCTGGTTCCTCCAGTAACGTCTGGAGTTTGTAGGGCGATCTGGGGCATGGTGCTGGCTTCTCTGGCTGCTGGAGCTCATAGGGTGGTCTGAGGTGTGACTCTGGCTCCTCCGGTGGTTGGAGTTTGCAGGGCGGTCTGAGGGGCGGCACTGACTCTTCCGGCGACAGGATCTCGAGCAGCTATGCGGGGTGGGACGCTGATCCTTCTGGGGACCGGGACATGCTGGACAGGTGGCAAGGTAGCACTAAGTCGTCTCAATATGGAGATTTGCTTGGCAACATGAGAGGGTGAGACGGGCCTCCTGCTGACGAGGACCTGGGTGATGTTCCCCAAAGCAGCAGGTACCTTCTCGATCGCAGCCTCCTGTTCCATTGGCCTGGCGACGGGGGCAGGCTTCTTGATGGCAGCTCGCAAGGTCGCTTTTCTTTGTTGAGGCTCTACAAATTCAGTGCAAAAATCTGTGCTAATGCAACGTGGAGCAAGAGGTTTAAACCCAGTAAAATCTGCAAATTGCACTGAGGCAGCTCCAGACTTACCTCTGTCCCTTATATGTGTAGGGTAGGACTTGGTCTTTCAATATACGTTCACACTGGATTGTTTTATTTACATAGGCAAAAATGACTCCTCTCCACTGCATTATGTTTGATTTTGAAAGACAAAGCCATTTTTAATAAAAGCATCTTAAGCTCATTCCCCACCCCCTCTACTCAAAGTGGCCAGATCAATTTTTTTGCTAATTAGTGGGGGTAAAGCGGAAGAGGGAAAGGAATAATTCCAGGATGAGACCAAACATGGACAGTTTTGGCCTACAAAGACTTTTTATACCAAAATTACATCGGCCCAGTTCTGAAGCCCATCTGTGACTGAAAACAGGGATCTGGACCAGAAATGCCATTTAGCTCTGGATACAACCACCCTATAGAACTGCTGGAATGACTGTAACAACACAAGCATATGCAAATACCTTCTGCATCTTTGGAACGGTTACACTTGAATCTCAGACTGACCACGCTGGCCAGGACGATAACAACAACTACCAGAATGACTATGAAGCTGATGACACCTGAGCAATGGAGAAAAGAATAATTAGTCAATGTTAATGTAACGGGTCTGTTTGGGGCCCAGTGTAACTCCTACTGAAGTCAATGAGTTAGTCCTGTTGACTTCTATGGGACTTGAATTGCATCCTTAAGGAAAAACATTAAGCAGATTTTTATTTCTGTTGTAATGAACACCAAAGTGTATTGACCAGAGAAGTGATATTCCCTAGAATGAGAAACCTCTTGCTCTTTTGTCTTCACTGGTATTTTCCTCAAATGACAATACATCTTGACTTCCAATGAACCTTTAACCCAAAAGGCTGAGTTTACTCCTGGTATAATCCTACCAGGGTTGAAACCAACTGCATCACCAAGCTTCGCCTCCACGTCACCAAAAGACAGGCCCTTACCAAATGCTGCCATCGTCAGGGCCGATTTCTCCTCCGTCGGGGCAGGGTCTGGGAGGGAAGGTCCTGTGCTCCAGTCAGAGGCAATGGTTGTAAAGGTCACTTGTTTCGAAGTGCCTGTGGAAAAGGTAGTTTTACTTAAAGACTTTCTACTCAGAATCCAGGGAGAATGTAATTCCAAGGCCACATTGGCAAGGTGCCTTCATTCCCCCAAAGAACATTTAGCCTTACTGCAGAGAAAGACTGAGCTGCTCCCAGTGAAGTCAATGCAAAATTCCCATTAGCCTCAATGAGAGCGGGACTGTATTTTGCAGTTCTGTGCCCCTTTTCATCAAAAGATCTACATGAATGAGCGAATGCTCACAACCTACCATTTACAGCCGGCACAGAGAGGCTGAGGGATTTGCGGCATGACACGTCTGCAGCAAGAGCCAAGTATAGAGCCCATACTTCCCAATTTCCATTTGTGTGCTTTAGCCACAAGACCAGCATTCCTCTCAGAGAACCAGCTTTCCTGCCTAGCTCAACCAACTGACCTTCACGCCTGAACAGTTCATCCCAAGGAAGGGAAACTTCTGTTGTGTTTTCAGGTTTTCCAGAGAGCATATGGGAACTATCAGACACACTGGTTAGCTCTCAAAGCCATTGCCATAGGCAGAGGCAGAGACACAGTGATGTAACACCAATCCAGGATATGCTGTGCAAAGGGTTGTAACACCGTCTTTGGGCTTCTACACTGGAGCACAAACAGATTTAACAAGTGGAAACCAAAGGAGCTAGTCAGAAAATGGAATTTTTGTCCTGTGGAACATTCCAATGTTTAAACATTTATTTTCGTCCAAATCAAGACAAAAAAATGTTCACGGAATGAAAAATTCTGAAAAACTTCCATTTGGAAGTGTTGAAATAAAAAATGTTGACTTTTTAGTTGAAATAAAATGTTTTGGTTCAAAATGTCACTTTGGAAAAGGGAAATTTTTAATGCCGACTGACATTTACCCATGGAAAATTTCAATGTAGACAAAACGTATTTCCCAACAACGCATTCCCCCGCCCCCCCCAAAAACCCCCAAACCCAAAAACACGCCGCCTTTTTGACTGAAATTTTCAAGCAGCCTTCAACAGCTGCCTCCCAGAGTAAAACTGTGCTGGAGGAACATAACTGGTAGTGGGATTATCCAGATTGCAGATGTTGCTGTACAATGGTTCTGTTAGTCATCAAGTTGTTTGCCTTGTGCTGAAATGCTGCATCTTCTAATTTATCCAGGGTCACTAGACAACTGTCTTATAGGACTTTCTTTGCTACTCTGCTTGCTGAGCCTGGCTTGGGTACTTAGTATTTGGGAAATGTTAGATCCCACACCAAAAGCCTGGAAAAATGGAAGTATCAGTAGCAACTCCATACTTAAAGTTGCACTGAGCTTTTACATAAAGCAGGATTCAAATTAAAACCAGGCTCTGTGATACCCTAAAGAACTATTAGCTTTACTGAGCACAAACATCTACAGAGATAGAACTAATTTACACATGCACTGGGTCTTGTGTAAAATCTGGAATGGATCCTTAAGAGGACAGGGGTGGACTTTGGTTGTTCCACAGTCTTGGGTTCAAAGCCCAAACTCAGGATTTAGAGCTCAATCCAACTCCCACTGAACTTAATTGGAGTATTTCCACTGACTTCAGGGTTGGATCGAGCCTTTACTCTGGGAGAACTCTCCCTGAAGTCTACAGGAATCTTGCTCTGAAGGGACTGCAGGGTTAGGGCCTATGTCAGAAGCATGGCAAAGGTCTTTCCAAGACATTACAGGGGGCATTTTACTCTCAAAGTGAGGTCATTCTTTTCACATTCAGACACAGTCCAGTCAGGGTGCATTGGTTGGATTTTGTCATCTGGTCTATACTGACTGCTAGGAGGACACCCCTGTTTATTCCAGGTGTTATGGACAGCAGAACTCCAAGGTCAGACTATATTTAGAGCACTGGACCTCATAAACCAACTAGTTCAATCGTAATGAATTCTTGTTTAAATTAAAAGTTGTTAAATAAAGGGACACAGCCTGTGCTCCCAATTCCCCTGGACTCTGGATCTGGATGAGGAAAACACAAGACACGAGACTTGTCAATGGACAGTTTGTAGCGATTAAAAGAATTCTAGACCAAGATGGAGGTAAATACTGGTTTTCCCTAACCAAGGTGGCACCCAGTGAAAAAGGGCTTTGTTTTTAGGCTTAACACCTTCCCCACCAAACAAAACGAAACCCCTACTGTGGTTGTACCCCATCCCCACCCCCTATTCCATGCTTTGAAGTTAGATAGAAACCATGGGGAAACAAGGAATTAAAAATTCCCCTGTGACTGATCAAAAACTTATCTAAGGCGTTTGCCAAGGATATTTGTGCTACTGACTGATCAGAAGGCTCAACTTTAATGCTGGCTGTGTGCCAGCTCACCAACAAAAGGCCGGGGGGAGGCATATTTTCATAAGTGTTTGTGACTAAGAGCACAAGTTCCACTGATCTCTCAGGATCATAAGTCAATTGAGGTGCTTTTGAAAATTCCACCCCTCGGCTGGCCAGCTGCCACCACCCTCCACCCCAAAGAGCTTCCTGAGCCTCTGCAGTGCCACAGTCCCCACCCTGCCACGCTGAATGCCAAGGTTGGGAACAAATTAGTGCAAACCCTGAACGCAGCAGTGTAGGAGAACGTGGTCTGAAGAGGCACCAGACAATGCGTGTCAGCGCAGGGGAGTCAACTGTAGGGCTGCCCTTTGTTTTTTAAAGTTCCTTGGGGAAACTGTCGCTTTCACTGAAACCTCCCACAAAAGTCAGCTCACAAGAGAACACTGCAAGCTGGAAAAAACTCTGCAGTTGTTACTGCATTCTTTCAGACGATTTTTTTTTCAACCTGAATTTAACCACAAACTTTCTTCCCAGTGCTTAATTTGTGCCAGGGCTTGCTTGGGCTGAGCCTTGGCACCTCTAGGCTTGGCAGTTCATAGTCCTGGCACCTCTAGCTTGGCAGTTCATAGCCCCGGCACTCCAGGGTTTCCTGCTTCTTTTAGGAAAGTAAAAAAATTGCTGCAGCCTCCGTACCTCTTTCTTTAGAAACTAAGCGCTGTCTCTTCCTCATCCCTTCCCCCCAAAATCAGATAGCCTGCCAATAAACCCTCCATGGCATGCATTCGCTTACCTGTGTGACCATCAGCGATACCGGCCGAGATGTTACACTAAAGACTCAGTGCTCTACTCGGCGCTGGTTAGGCCCTGGCTGGAGTACTGTGTCCAGTTTTGGTCACTAATGTATAGAAAGGATATAGCCAAACTGGAAAGGATCCAGAGGCAAGGGAGGTGATCAGAGGGATGGAATGCAAGCCATATGAGCAAAGGCTGAAGGAACAGGGTATGTTTCATTTGGAAAAGAGGAGAATAAGGGGGGGACATTATAGTGGTCTTCAAATACTTGAAAGGCTGCCATAAAAAAGATGGAGAAAAGTCATAGCTCTCTTACCACAGAGGGCAGGACAAGAGGCAAGGGGTTCAAACTACAGCACAGCAGATTTAGATTAAATCTCAGGATTTAACAGTAAGAACAGTAGGACAATGGAACAGACTGGGAGGTCATGGAAGCTCTTTCACTGGAGGTTTTCAAAAGGAGGCTGGATAGCCATCTTTCTTGGATGGTTTAGACACAACAGATCCTGCATCTTGGCAGGGGGTTAGTCTAGATGACCCTTGCGGTCCCTTCTAATCCTATGGCTCTTTGATTCTATAACTCTTCTGTCTAACTGAACAGCCACACAGGGGAAAGTTGTGTGAAACTTCCTGAAGAGTTTGAGAAGTTCCTACACAGTATATGAGCCAGACTGCATGGCTCATACTCCTGTTGGTGAGCGCTTAGAGCCTGCTATTCCAAAGGGATACTGGGTGCTAGGTATGCAACAATCTGGCCTTTACTTACACAGTCTTCCTGACACAGTCTTCCTGGCATCACTTGTATTTGGAAGCACTCACTGACAGGAGCATGGGGTATACAATCTAACTCTCTTTGTATGTCTACACTGCAAGGGAAGATGAGACTGTAGCACACTTGGCATGTAGCACAGTGTAGATATGTCAGTGTAGCAACTAGCGTGCATCTTTCTGGTGTTACCCTGCTAGCTAGATTAAAGCTAGCACCGATATGCCAACCTGTGCTACAATCACCCTCCACATGCAGTGTAGACATAGCCGGTGTGTGCAAAGTCCCAGTGTGACTACAATTAAGTGTACCGTACCGTGCTAGGAACACAGCAGGCACTTACCAACTGCAGCTGATCTTGATGCCGATTTTGATTTTCCCTCAGCTGGGCCAGACAGATGGCCTTTTGTTGTCTGCTTTGAGGGCATGGGAGTTGGTGTAATTAAAGTCAACACATTTGAAGCTGTGGAATAAACGTAGGGTTATTTTTGATTAGCTCTCGTCACCCATGTTCATTTAGAAACAGCTCAGCTAAAGGCAGTGCCCTTCCCAGGAAGTCCTCAGGCCTCCTGGGAGTTATGGGTAATCTGTTAAAAAGAGCACAGAGTTGAACAGCCAAGGACTGTTGGGTATTTCTAAGCCAGGACAACTTGTTTTGCTTGTTTGGGGAAAAATTATGTTTTTAAAGGAATTTTTCAGACAAAAGGGGCAGTATATTTCCAGAGGAATCTATCCAGATAGCAAACGTGGACCCGAAATAGGAAAAATTCAGACTTGCTTACCATATGGGTTTATATTTGCAGACTGAAGCTTGTAGCTTTCTGTTGACAGCCTTTGTCTCCCGTCTCCTGGGGAGGAGTCCTTGCTTCTAGCCACCTGCAGCAGCCTCCCTGAGCCGGTTTCAGTGGAACCAGAAGGCAGAGAAGCAAAAATAAGGTAAGGGAGCACTTTTCGTTTGAAAATCCATTGATTCAATCCTTTGCATCATTCTAAGTGATTTGACAGCTGCTTCCATGGAACTAGACACAGGAACCCTCTACTGGCCACAGGGTTCCTCTACCAATTTTGCTGCCCCAAGCAGTCGCTGCCGTATTGCTGCCGCCAAATTGCCGCTGCGCCCGGAAGAGCGGCGGAGCTGACGCCTAAAAGCTGCCGTGGCGGGAAGAGCAGCAGAGCTGCCACCGAACTGCCGCGGCAGGACACGGACGGCCGCCCCAGTCTGAATGCCGCCCCAGGCACCTGCTTGGAAAGCTGGTGCCTGGAGCCGGCCCTGACTAGCCAGACCTGCATGGGCTAATGGATTAACCCTGGGACTGCGAGCCTAGAGCGTGCGTTTAGTCCCAACTCTCACAGGGCGGCTCTGGTTCAATGTCCCTCTCAGTAAAATGGAGATAACAACCCAGCAGGGGTGTTGTAAAGAGTGTTTAGTGGGTGTCAAGCACCACACATTGTTAATAGCTTGTTTGAATGAAAAAGTGACACCTGTGTAACTCAAACTTAATTTTTTGTAAAGTGAGCGTGGTGCAGGGAAGCCTCTTCTAATGAAGGATGTGATTGCTATCCTTATTTCTATTGCAGTAGCACTCAGAGGCCCAGGCCAGACACCAGGGACACTGTATCCTTCTGGCCCACATGCCCACACCAAGTCTCCTCCCTGAAGAGCTCACAGTCAATACATATGGTGAACCAGCAGGTGGATAAAAAAGATCCTCAATCCTGGGGGAGGAGAAGGTAAGCATTGAAAGCAAGACCTGCACCAAAGTTAGGCACTCAGCAGGCCATAGCAGACAGGCCTCCTGAATGCAGACACACAATTGGCCCGTTCACCTGCCTGCTAAATGGCTTCTGTTTTCACTTGGCTGAACACAAAAGCTGCCCAGCAGGCTACAACACAGGCCAATTACAGGACAAGCCAGCCAGGATGTTCCCTCTACTACTGCTCTGTGGGTTCTGCTGGCATCCAGTGCCACATGGGCTATACGTCCATAGTATCCCTCAGGCTCTTCCCCTTTGGCCGACTTTACCTGAGCTGTGGTTCTGGCCTGCAGGGACTGGCGATGGTGAGGAAACACTAGCTGAAACAGGAGCAAAGTGATGAAGTTAGATCCTTCACACCCCAGCAGCAGGTGTCATCCTGCTGGGCCCAAGCCAGGCTGCGATGGGTCGATGGGAAGGGGCCTTCCATGCAGCATAGGGTTCAGAAATTGATGTGGTGAAGAGGAAGCAGCAGTGAAGAGGACTTCATCCATCACCAGGCCTAAGACAGGCTGATGAAGCTAAGGGCAGGTCCAGCCCCTGGACTGGGTGGGGGCCCATTGCCAGAGAGCACAGAGGTCTGCCCCAGGGAGAGAGGGGATTGGTGAGCTTTGGCAAGGCACAGAGCCAGGAGGGCCACCACACAACCACTTGTAGGCCCTATCCCTGCCTCACAGCTTCTTCTCCTGGCTCACTCTCCTCCCAGCTAGCAGTCTTCCCTTCCACAAGCAGCCAAGCTAAGCCTCCCACTCACTGCTCCTGGGCAGACAGACCAGGAGAGGAGGAGCCAGACTGGGGCCATGCTTCATGTCCCCATTAGGGGTCTGCTCTTTCCTCTGACCCCAGAGACTTGAGGGAGGAGGGGTTGCATTGCACAGCAGTCAGCACTGGAGAGGAAATGCAGTCCCATAGGAAAGACAGAGACCCTTCAGCAGGAAGGGGGCCCTCAGGTTGTATTGGATCTGGGCCCCATTTATTCTCAAACCACCACCGGCTAGTGCTGGATGTTGTAACTGGATCGAGACGCTGACTGTACCTGCTGTGACGCTGGCTGTGATTCGTGGCTTGGCCGTAGTATCTGAAATGACATGACTAAGGTAGTTTGTGCAGAGTCACGGCTGGAGAGTCAAGCTACCCCACTTCCCATGTTTTTCTCTGCTAATCGTTTGGATTGTGTCCTCTGTCCCATCTTCTGTCTGGTCAGGCTTCAGAAGACACTTAATCCCACTTCCCAAAAGCAGCAGATAGTGAGAGGTGATGAACTGTTTAGAATGCGACACCTGTTGATGGTATTGTTCAAGGAGCTATATGTATATGTAGTAAGGTGTAAATTTATAACAGGGAGAATAATTAACCGTTGGAACAATTTATTCAGAGTCGAGGTGGATTCTCCACCACGGACAATTTTTAAATCAAGATTAGAAGTTTTTCTAAAAGATCTGCTCTGGGAATTATTTGGGGGCAGCTCTCTGGCCTGTGTGCTACAGGAGGTCAGACTAGATGGTCACAATGTTTCACCATTGGAATCTATCTTATTTTTATTCTCTATTTAATCAAAAAGTGCAGATATGATTTCACTCATGCGGAAATTCATTTAAGTGGTGCCTAGGTCTTGTGCCACACCTCTGCCCTGGGGTTAATTCATCCCCCAAGAACAAGGCCCACAGGTACGTATAACTCAGCAATATAATCAGTCAGGTTCCTAATGGTCAGGGCTACAAGAGGAGGGTATAACAGTGCTTCATTTTAGGGTAACTGTTTTTTGTGGGTCTCTTATTGTTCTTGTGCTGCTCCTTGGGGTGTTTCCAATGCTTGGCATCGTGCAATAATAAACTAGTGCCCATTGCTCTATCTTGGTGGAGAAAGGCCATTTGAGAGGTTTTCTGGAGCTGAGGCAATACTTAAAGCACTTTGTTAAATTAGGATCTTAATGCTGTTGAGCACCATGGGTCAGATATTTAGGGACCTAAAGATGCAGCTGGGTTCTCAATGGGGTTTTCAAAAGCAGCTAGGCATCCCATCTGGTGCTTTAAAAATCTGCCCGTCTCCTCAGAGTTTTCATCTCCGGACTGGACTGCAGATGCCAGAATTACCTTGGGCCCTAGTTAGAGCGGTTTTCCAACTGCAACTTCTCAGATCCTTTCTTTCCAGTAATTCATTAAAATATAAACCTCAGGGGACAGGAATAAGCATATGAAAATCAGCAATATTTCATAGAAAAGCCCCTTGGAGGGCGGGGGAAGAAAAGTATTTCCAGTATTTGGGGAAGGGCTTGCGTGCCCTTGACCAGTTCTGGCAAGGACAGGTGCCATTAACACTACTGAAATCTAATCCCCAAGCCTCTCTTTTGTGCTGTCACAATCACCTTTCCCACCTCTATGATGGTGGAGCAACCATTAGAAAGAAAACACAGGGACAGTCAAGCAAGAGCTTGTCCTCCAGGGAGGATGTCCTTCAGTGGAAATCAACTGTAGTTAACACAAGCAAAAAAGAGTAACATCAAAATTGTGAGCTGTAGCTCACGAAAGCTTATGCTCAGATAAATTGGTTAGTCTCTAAGGTGCCACAAGTACTCCTTTTCTTTTTGCGAATACAGACTAACACGGCTGCTACTCTGAAACCTATCAAAATTCCCACTGATTATGATGCAATCCAGCCCTCTGCCTTTAGGGGAGGAACCCACCTTCCCATTAGCATTCCCTCCTTTCCCCAGCAGCCAAGTTATGGGTCTTTTCCTGAGCAGTGTTGCAAAGGGAGGGGGAAGCTGAGCTGAGGTTAACCCCTTGTTCTCGAGGGGCCAGGGAGTGTCCCCGTACCCGGATTAGACTGGCCGGAACAAAGTAAGGCCAACATTTGGCTGTCAGATCCACCCTCCCAAAGTTCCATGTGAGCAGGGACAGAGGAGTTGAGATCTGCCATGCGGGGTGGAGAATGGGATCCTACCCTGTGTGTGCAGAAACCTTTCAGGCAAATCTGTTCTCCGGGGGGCGATGGAAGAGCGGAGCCATTCCTGACTGGGAATCTCAAGAACAATGCTCACCCCAGAGCCTGGGAGAGCCCAGATCCAGGTCAGGCCCATCTCTGCTAGAGAACAAGCATCCATCTTCTCTTCTTTCGCATTCTTTCCAGGAATGAAACCCCCCCCTTACACAGCACACAGAAGCTGTTCCCTGGGAGCCAAACGCCCATCTCAGTGCCTGTGGATGTGGCAGTGGGAGGAGGGGGCATTCAATGTAGCTGCATCTTTCACGCTGCTGCTTGTGCCAACAGCAGTAAAGGCTGTGACCTTGGTCCCTATTGGCATGCAAAGGGTTTATGCGGAAGCTCTGGGCTCCGAGGGCTGCATTAGCACCTTGCTGCCAAAGAGCTCCCCACTCCCTGAGCAGCTCTTTGTGGTTCCTGGCCCCTTTGTCTCAGCTTTGGGAAGCCTACTGCAGCCTTGGGGTTGGGTTAGCTCCCACAGCGTGAGCTGTAGGGGAAGACTAAAGGTATGTCTCCACTGCAACTACAAACCTGTGGCTGGCCCGTGCCAGCTGACTGGGGCTCAGGCTGCAGGGCTGTTGAATTGTGGTGTAGACTTTTGGGCTCAGGCTGCAACCCAAACTCTGGGACCCTCCCCCCTCATGGGGTCCTAGCTCAGACATCCACACCACAATTAAATAGCTCCTTAGCCCAAGTCAGCTAGCACAGGCCAGTCACATGTGTCTAATTGCAGTGTAGACATACCCAAAGAGGCCAGGGGCTTAGGGAACTGAGTCAGAGCCACCCTCTCAAAAACTTATTGTAGTGGATGGAGTGTGGGGGCAAGGGGCCCAGCCCCCCAGGATTGTCTGGGGTAGGGGTGTCTTTGCCCCAGTGGGCCCCTCACCCACTGGACCCAGTTCTGCCTGGCTCAGCTTTAACTCTCTTAACTATGCTTTAGGGCAGGGGTGGCCAACCTGAGTCTGAGAAGGAGCCAGAATTTACCAATGTACATTGCCAAAGAGCCACAATAATACGTCAGCAGCCCCTCACATCAGCTCCCCACCTCCTGCTCCCAGCACCTCCCAACTGCTGGCAGCCCCACCAATCAGCACCTTCCCCTCCCTCCCCGCACATCCCAATCAGCTGTTTCGTGGTGTGCAGGAGGCTCTGGGGGGAGGAGCAAGGGCACAGCAGTCTCAGGGGAGGGGGTGGGAAGGGATGAGGTGGGGGCAGAGCCAGGGGTTGAGCAGTGAGCACCCCCAGGCACATGGAAAGCTGGCGTCTGTAGATCCAGCCCCGGAATTGGTGCCTATACCAGGAGCTGCATATTAACTTCTGAAGATCCGCATGTGGCTCCAGAGCCACAGGTTGGCCACCCCTACTCTAGGGCCTGGGTGGGACAGGGAGCTGGAGACACAGTGGGTTCTGGTAACCCCAATTCCTTTTCCTTTCTTCTCTTGACCATGTTGTTCTTCCCACCTGATAGCTCCGTTCTGGATGTGTGAGAAGCACCATTTCCGACATCTAGCCAGTCTTGCCAACTCTCACGATTTTACCATGAATCTTGTGCTATTTGGTGTTTGCCTTCAACCCCCAGCTCTTGGAATCCTGTGATTAGGGCAGGGTCTCAGCTTCCATTTTTTTAAAAAAGTAAGTTTAGTCCTCGTGGTTATAGAGAAAAGCTGAGTACCCCCTAAAAGCTCAGAAATCAAAGGCCAGATAAATAAATCCAGAAGTTTATTATTATTATTTTTATAATATTTGGTTCAAATCTCATAATTTTGGGAGCCTAACCCATGATTTTTGAATGCATGAGTTAGCAATACTGAGTCCAAGTTTGCATCCACTGCTCCTAACTCGATGGTGCCTAGATAAGTGACAGCAGCTTTCAAATGTGCAGCAGAAGCTCAAAACAAGGGACACAACAGGAATTAGTCCCCAGCCAGGGAGCTTGGGGGCACCATTCTTTTTTTACAGATAACGTTCCCCAGAGCACCGGTTTCCAGATACAACATTTCTGATGGTAAACAGGGAGATAACATCTGGGGAGGGGAATCTGGAGTGAGGTAGTGGGAAAACTGATTGCACCGCTGTGGAGAGAGAACCAATGGCCTTGTAAACTTCCTTATGCACAGCACAGCCAACACCCACCAGTGCTGAGTCCCCAATTTCTCCTGCATTGCACAAAGCTCGTTTTAGTTTGTCCCACTTCTGGACCTGCCTTGCTCTCCTTGGAGCTCCAGTTTCCCTCGCCCTTGCGGGTTTTCATGCGTGGAATTTTTAAAGGTCCGCAGTTTCAAAAGTTTCCTTTTCTTTTTGCGAATACAGACTAACACGGCTGTTCCTCTGAAAAGTTTCAAAAGTGTTCGCATTAATGGGGGAAAACAACCCGCTTTGTTCCACTGGGTGCCTGTCTGCACCTCTCAATGTCTAAATACTTATACAAACCTGGCTCTTAGGCCTAGACCCTTAGAAGTATTTAGGTGCCTAACTGCCATTGGTTTCCATGAAAGTTAGGCACCTAAATCCCTCTGAGGATCTGGGTCTTAATGCTGGATTTTCAGGTGAGCCCATCACCTACAGCCAGGGCTAGGGTTTCTGACATGCCTGGCATGCTGACTGTCGCAATGGGAGCTGCTGGGCACTGTACTCCCTTGAAAGCCAGGCCCTCGGTTTGCAAACTGAGGGCCAGATTGTTCACTATGATGCCTTCCGTGCCTCAGCACAAAGGCAGTGTAAGTAGGAACCTACGTGGGGACAGGGGATGGATCCTGCATGTGGGGGCAGTTCAAGTAATATAGCTCTTTGACAGACTCTCCACCCCTCCAGTTGGGCTCCCAATGGCTATGCCCCCATCCCTCCCCACATTCTACATGGTGGGCTTGGTGGAGTTGGTGCAGAGCTCAGCTCCACCACAGGCGGGGTGGGGTGGGGTGGGGTTGGTGGAGGGGGAGCCAGTCCACCTCCATGTGCCTGCCCCTTGGATAGCAGAAGTACCCCACTATGCTGGGGACCTTATATTGCCCCTGCAGCCAGGAGTGAATTTCATCCTAAAGCATAATCCCAGCTATTCTCTAGTTAGTGACTGTTCTAAGAGACACATATGAAGAGGGAGGGGCTGAGATCCTAGGATGATTTGTTTTTTACCTGCTGGGCCTCCTTCAGTGAGAGATGCATTTATGTTCTCAGCATCTGAAAGAGAAAAAAGGCAGCTTGTCAATGAAACAATGGGCTGGTATTTTCCTTGAGGCTGGCAGGGAGGGAATTTCTTTTGGCAGAGCCCCTCAGGCCATTCTGGCTCCATTTGTAACAGGTCTCTATAAATTCACCCCTAGGCACCTGGCTCTGTGTAGGTGGGAAAGCCCCCAACTGCCTAGGCAAAGAGCAGCCTCATAGCCTGTGGGGCATTCTGTGGATCAGGTCTGGCGAAGCGGGTGCAGCCAGGAATACCTCGCCCCTCCCTATTCCCAAAGGAGTGCTTCATCCCTTGTTCTCATCCCCATTCCCCACCCTCTGGGTTTCTGCTAGGGGAGTGAGTCTAGTTCCCAGTGAGGCTCTGTAGATGGGAGGCAGTGGAGCAGCACATCCCCTATTCACCCTAGCCAATGCTCCTTTCCTCACACAAGCACCGTCTCCTTGGGTGTAACTAAGGTTACAGCTGCTTTGCACCGCCATAGCCAGGGAACTGTCTACAGCTGGAATGTCTTGCTCATGATCAAAACCCCCATCAGCTCAGTGGCAGAGGCAGGACTGCAACCCAGGAGTCCTATCTCCCCTTCCCTGTTCTCTAGGCACAACCTGGCCTCCCACCAGACCAGAGAAGTAGAAGAAGTTGGAGGGAGTAGTCACATATAGCTCTAAGAGCAGTGAATCCTGCAGGGGAAGTGATCCTTAGGCTCCTACAGCTCCAATCAGTCCCATGCACGGCAGTATCATTGCACGTAATATAACCTGAAACAGGCCAAGGCCATAGAGACTTTGCACCCATTGTTCCAGGTCAGTTCTTCAATACTCAGGTGAAAACTGTTTTGCAGGTGCCGAGAGACAGCGCCCAGAGGTTGAATCAGCCCCATCACGACACAGGCTCTGTCCTCACAGTGCAAGCCCAGGATGTACCCTAGCGTTGCTGTTCTCAGGCACATACGTGTCTGTGTGCTCACACAGAGCGTATCCCACCGTGGTTGCTATTACACACAGACGGAGCATATCCCAGGATTATCATTAAGCACTCATATGCGCGCACGCACGCACGCACACACACACGGAAAAATACAGAAGGAATGATAATGATCCCTTCCATAATTCCTCTGCCAAAGCATGGTTATAGAATGAAAACGTTGGGCCTCTCCTCCCATGCAGGTCCCGTGGCTGAAAGCCAGAGAGTAGCCCGACAAACGGGCAGCTGACACCTTGTTCTTGTATCGTCTCTCTGCAAACCACATTACTGACGTTGTTCCCACTGGTTGGAGCCCGGTGAATTATAACAGCCCAGAGAGCATGGACTGAGTGCAGGATTCGGCGATGTGCACACCTGTTCGCTAGGAACTGACCTTCCACAATGCCCCCAAAATGTGAGTTCAGACGTAATAATAATTAACTAACAATTTTACCATGAGTCCCTTCCCTGGATTCCCCAGGGTGCCTGGCCTCTCTGCACTGTCCGTTAGGTGTTTGCTGTTTCATTCACACTCCAGCTCCTGGACACTTGTGCTTACATGAGAATCTCCTTTCATTTGACACAAAAAAAAAAAAAAAAAAAAATCTAGCCCTCCTGATTGTGGGAAGATGCTTGAAAATGACACTTGAATGTACCCTAGAACAGGGGTGGGCAATCTGTGGCCCGCGGGCTGCATGTTGCCCGTCAGGATAATCTGCTGGTGGGACGCCAGACAGTTTGTTTACATTTGCACGGCCGCCCGCAGCGCCCAGTGGCCGCAGGTCGCCATTCCCGGCCAATGCAGAGAGCCACTGGGTGCTGCGGGCGGCCGTGCAAATGTAAACAAAGTGTCTCGCAGCCTGCCAGCGGATTATCCTGACAGGCTGCATGTGACCCGTGGGCTGTAGGTTGCCCACCACTGCCCTAGAGGCTCAGAAGGCAAACAAAAGAACTCCAACTCTATTTATTTTGCAATCTTGTGATTTTTAAGATAATCTCATGATCTTGGAGGGGTCTAACTTGTGAGTTTTGAAAGTTTAGGGTTGGTGATACTGGGGCTGACTGCATTTTTGAGCTTTGTACAGTGCTGGGCACATTTGAAAATTTGACCCAAAGTACCTAAGTGATTTAGGACCCTAAAGTCAATGGCATTTAGGCCCCAGGGGCAGGCCTAAATTCTATTTAAAAATGGGATTTAGGCCCTTCTGAAAATTTGACCCATTGTCATCACTGAATAATTAAGACCACCCAATCCCTTTCAGACAGGCCAGAGAAATCGTTTTGGAGGCTTGGACCTCACATTTGGTTCTCCCTTTGCCCGTGGAGAGAAGCGATAAATCAGCCTATATCCAGGGCCAGATTAACCCATCGCTGGGCCCTAGGCAGACACACATGCCTGGGCCCCTATCTGGTTGGAGGAGGAAGTGGTTTCTTTACTCAGTCCCCTCCCCTCTCCTTGGCAGGGTTGGAAAAGGCAAAGTGAGTCTCAGCTGTGAGTAAGAATTATCTGCCCACTCATCCACTGGTGCCGATTGGTTAGTCTCTAAGGTGCCACTAGTACTCCTTTTCTTTCTGAGAATACAGACTAACACGGCTGCTACTCTGAAACTGCACATTTGAACAGCTTTACAAGGTCACAATGCCATTCATCCAGGGGAGTGACGGTCTTTCACTTTGCATGCAAATCTGCATCAGTTAAATAAAATAACTACATTTTTAAAATGTAGGCAACCCCCATTAATTTGGGCCATAGGCACGTGCCTAGTTTGCTTATCCATTATTCTGACCCTGCCTATGCCTGCCGCAGATTAATATCTCCTCCACAGCAGCACAACTCTCTGACCAGCCCCTAGGGGTAGGAGTGGAGTCAAAGTTCTGGTCAGTCCCCTTCCCCACCAGCATACCCCCCCTCGCCCACCTGCATGGGAAGGGAGCAGTAGCCAAGCAGACCCTGATCTCCCACAAGTAGCTCATGCAAGGGAGTAATGGAAGTGATACCCATACAGGGCAGTACTAGTGGGTGTGGATGTGAAATCACACCCTGGCCCTGCTGAACCCAAGCTTATGGGGCTTTCATAGTTTACAAGGCCAGAAGGGACCATCCGTCTGACCTCATGTATAGCACAGGCCAAAGAACTTCCCTGGACTGATTCCTGGTTGAACCAGAGCAGATCTTTTAGAAAAACATCTAACATGACCCTTGGTAAGTTGTTCCAATGGTTAATTACCCCCACTGTTCAAAATGTACACTGTATTTCCAGTCTGAATTTGTCTAGCTTCAACTTCCAGCCACTGGATTGTGCTTGTGTGGCCCCTGGGAATTTATGCTTAGTACATATTTTTCAGATGGAAGTTCCTCAGCTAGAAGGTTTTTTTCAAAGTCATTTTAAAAGTATCCCAGCCAGATGAGGAGCGTAACAGCACGTACAATTCGATGAATAATATTAAGCCATAGTTTTCTTTCCAGCTAAAGTTTCTCCCAACAAAACACCCTTACCCAGAAAATACTCCCCTGCTTTTCCGTTCCATGGCTGCAAAACAATTTGCGTCAATCTCAGTGGAAGTTAGTCTGCACTGACAACAGCTGCTGGGCCACAATCCCTCCCACACCTCTTAACAAGCATTGATGCAATATTAATGCCCTAAACATCAGGGTTTGTAAATATCTTACCTGAAAAATACTCTGCTGCAAATGTACCACAGAAATTTCCCCAAAACCAAATAGCTCTTCTTTCCCCAAACTATCACTTTTCCAAACCGAGGGCACCATTCTGTCACCCTGCCTGGAGGACTAACTGCCTGTAACATCGCATTTGCTTTTTTAGATTAAGCCATATTTTTTAGAGCATGCGTGTCACTCCAAGCACCTGGAATTTCTACAATAGCTATTGTTTATGCTTGGTAACTTCCAGACAGCTTAGCTGGGGCCTAATGCACTTTTAAGAGAATTGGCTTCTGAGTTGGCAATTGATGTATACAGTTTTCAGCCCAGTTGAATAGAACCTTTTGTAGTGATAAACACCCATTTTTTCATGATTTGTGTGTATAAAAACAAACATCTGCTGTATTTTCCACAGTATGCATCCGATGAAGTGAGCTGTAGCTCACGAAAGCTTATGCTCAAATAAATTGGTTAGTCTCTAAAGTGCCACAAGTACTCCTTTTCTTTTTAGTTAAAGGAAGGTCAGTGAAGGGCTTGAGAGTTCCCAGAGACCTTTGTAAGATTGACGACTGCAGAACACCAGTGAGACTGAGCTAGCCAGGCTCCTGGCCTCACTTAGGAGCTGGCCCTTTAAAGCAGGAAAGACACAATGGGATTTTTCATCCAGTCAGCTGACCTGTTGAGCAGTGGGCTGATCAGCCCTACTACCTGATGGAAGTACCATGCACTCAGATAGGGAGTCATGACGAGTGGTCTGCCAGGGGGAGGGCAGAGATCCATAGAAGGGACCATTAGATCTAGTCGGACCTCCCGTGTAACACAGACCAGAGACTTCCATCCAGCTACTCCTGCACTGAGCCCAATAACTTGAGTTTGAATAAAGCATCTACGCCAGTAAGGCAGCCTGTCTTGTTGAGAAGTCTTCAAGATGGAGAATCTGCCCCTTTCCTTTGTAGTTTGTTCCAATGGTTAAATCAACCTCACATTAAAAATGTGCAGGGCCTGATGAATCTTTTGTGGGCTCTGGTGCCTGGACCGTGGCCTGGCCCCCAAAGGCCCCACCCACGCTCCACTCAGAGGCCCCACCTTTGTTCAGCTTCTTCCCTCCGCCCCCTGAAGCCCTGCCCATGCTCTGCCCCAAGGCCTTGCCCCTGCTTGGTGTCTTCCCCAAGGCTCCGCCCATGCTCAACCTCTTCCCCTTGAGGCCCTGCCTGCCACTCGCACAGGTGAGAGGAGCAGGAGAGGAGCAAGCGGTGGGTGGGGCCTCAGGGCAGAGTGCAGGCGTAGCGGGGATCAGGGACACTATCCGGGGGCCGGGGCCCCTTCTAAGTGTGGGCCCAGCACCACAGTGCCATTGGCACCATTGTAAGCCTG